AGCACTACCTTGAAAATCCACATGAGAACTCACACGGGCGAGAAGCTGCATTCCTGCGAGACGTGCGGTAAAACTTTCAGACACATTAACAAGTTGTTGTGCCACATGAGAACGCACACAGGTGAGAAGCCTTACCTCTGTAACACCTGCGGGAACAGCTTTATCGACAAATCCAATTTAAAACGGCACATTAGAACTCACACGGGTGAGAAGCCTTATTCCTGCAAAGTCTGCGGCAAAGAGTTGGCCCACAGCACGACCTTAAAAATCCACATGAGAATTCACACAGGCGAGAGGCCGTTTGTCTGCGTCACCTGCGGGAACAGATTTATTAACAACTCCAATTTGAAACTCCACATGAAAACGCACCGGGACAAGACGTCAGCGTCCTGAAACCTCTGATTGTCAGGGAGGCCAGACTTGAAGAAGCCTGGAAGGATTTGTGAAGGTTAACAATCAAAGTTTCAAAATTAAAGCACCTTTAAACTGTGCAGTGTGAGTTTATTGCACGATGTACGCGGTGACTCTTGCAGAAGCGCGTTGCACTTCTCATTTCAATATTATTGGATTTTTTTCCAACAAAGCGTTTGGAAATGATCATGTTAACGTTCTTTACTTGAGAGAACATTTGAAACAAAAAGTATAAGTGCGTTGTCCATGACATGATAAGGTCTCATGTTTCTGTCGTCAGTGTGCTTTGTGAAGGTAAACCAGGGTTTAAGACTTGAGGTTGAATGTTTATTTATATGTTTATTAATAATGTTTTGCTCACGTATTCACCCAGTTTTAGTCGCTCTGTGTTTATCTGCATAACTTAAGCTGGAATGTTTTGTTCTTTTACTGATTTCTAGTTGAGTGTGAAGTGGGAAACTTTTCCTCATGTTGATCTTGAGACNTCCATCCAGAGCTCCCGCAACAAAATGCCTGCAGGGAAGAGGAGGTTGTTGACAACCAGGATCGAAACTCCCCACAACCCCAACAGATAAAAGAGGAACTGGAGGAACCAGAGGCTCCACAGATAAAACAGGAACAGGAGGAATTCTGTAC